AATAATACAAATAGTCATATCAACGGACATAATTTTACATAGACCCACACATAGTTGAATAAATAAATAAGGATTTTACAGTAGCCTATAGATAATACTAATAATAATTATAATAAAATCAATTTCACAAGAAGTAGAGTAGTCAATTTGCGCAAGAATGCATTTTAGTGTCTTTTTTCCCATAGTGACGAGTCTAGAGAACATAGGCCTATTGTTTTGTTGTTTTTACTTTGAAAAACAAATATATAATATTAATATGGTATTCCATACATTTGTCAGAGCTTGGTAGAAAGGTAACTATATTTGTTAATGTTATTAAACAGATTAATAATTACATTATAATTGGTATTATTAAATATTATTAATCATATATGCATACTAAATTATGGTCATATCTGTAATACACACTTTATGGCAATTAAAAGAAAGTTTTAAAAGTGCAAATTTAAAAAAAAAAAATTAGACAAACAATTACATAATAAATTCAAAATCAATTTGAGTAAATAAAAACAATAAAAATATCCCATCCATGCAGAATTGTCAAAAACATGATAACTGGTATATATATATATATATATATATATAAGTAAAATTATAAAATGTAAAATAATAAAATGTAAAATAATAATATAAAATGTTTTTTGTTGCAAGCTCACATACTTGATGTCATGTTTTCTCGTGGTTTATTGTTGAGCTGTCAAGTCGTCATGTTGAAATAACCAGTTCCATACCCTTGACACATTTTTTGTTATTATTTCATTTAATTATTTATTTATCTCGTGTATGGGTGTCCCTTATTTTGCCTCACTGAAGGTGGCAACCCTAATTATATTGGCATGGCATCAAAATTCAAACTTGAAAATTTCACGATCGCTCCTACAGACAAGACATTTAAAAAATGTTGTAAAGAAGATTTGTTGTTGATCGCGGATTTCTTTGATATAGTTTTAGCGCGAAATGCGCTTAAGAGAGAGATTAAGGATGTACTGCACATGGAGCTTGTAAAGCAAAAGATCTTGCCTGGTGTTGAAAGTGAGGTTACGGATGTTGCATCTCCAGCACTATCTGTGGATTTGGATGCTTTGGAGGCGGAGTTCTAATTTGACGATGGGGCGTGCATAGATCCTGTTAATCCTCCTGCACCAAAGGATCGATTGTTGGCAATCCGGTTGAAAGAACTGGAAGTGGAATTAAACCGACAGCAATACCCAAGTCAGTTGTTACATGTCCGAGCTGTTGAGTATTTGAGTCTGTTGAGAGTATTCGAATGTTAAGAGTTTTGAGACTGTGAGTACTGTTTGTTTGTTTGTTTGTTTTGAAAGCTCTTTGTATATAAATATCTTGTTGTCCCTGTTGGCATACAGTATCGGACCCCTTTGCCTGTTTACTGACACTGATTTGGACTGCCCTTTTCAGTTTATTTGCCTGATTGTACATATTGTAAATACTGATTTATCTTTGGGAAATTAGGGAGCTTGACGCCATGGGTTTGGTTAGTCTTTGGGCTGTGGGGCTAGTAACTGTAGCCGTGGGGCTGGTAAGTGAAAACCTATAGTTATATCAGCCCTTTATGTATTACATTGGAAAACAAAGATGTAAAAAAATGAACACAAATATAAAAAAGTTCAAGGGTCAATAAACTAATTAACAGAAGCAAAATATATCTGTATTAAATCTATTATGTTTAATAAAGGAGGGAAATCAGTTACCTGCATTTCCCATTATACACACATTACACAATATCCAGTTGCTATGGTGTGTGCTCTTTCACAGCCTTTGTTACATTGGCCAGTGAGGCTGGTGGCCACCAGCATACTTTTCTCTCTGTGTCCTTGAACCATTCAAATGGAATTATGTCCATTTTCTTGCAGCCATCAGGGTAAACCTCATTTACAAACTCCACAACACTGAACGAGGACACCCTGCAGAGTTCAATAAATCATGTACTGTGTAGCTGAGGCAAAGCAACAAACTTATTATTAAGAGGCAATAAAAGCAGCAGTCTATTGAAGTCTGTCACTGGAGCCCTGGAAAGCTGACCAGACAATTTTGATAGCAATCAATGAGGTAGTTGAACAAATATGTCCCTTTCTCTCACAAAGTTCGTACACCACATGTGTTCCTCCAGTGGAATCTACGATGATCCGCACAATCCCAAATCTTCCCTCAAGTTCAAAACAATCGGTACCAATGGAGCTTGAGATCAATAGCCGCGTTTCCACTGCCGGGCCAGGGCCGGGCCGTGCTAGTGCGTGCCAGGGCCAGTCGCGTTTCCACTGTCACTTCCGGGGCTTGATCGGGGCTTCCTCAGGGCCAACGGCCAGGATTTCTGGCCCGTCGAATACCTTGGGCCAGAGGGGGCCAGCTCGGGCTAGAGGCGTGCTCAAGGTAAAAGGCGGAGTTTATCGGTGTTATGGAAATTATTATCTGAAGCAAGATGCACATAGGGGTGTCCATGTTTAACCGATTAACCGTTTAAAATTGCATAACATTTTAATTTGAACTGTAGGCCTATGCCAAATGCTGCGCAAAAATATATAGGCTATATATAGGCTACATATCGACGAATTTTCAGATATTTGTTTGATTTTTTTTTGCCCCCTAAACATTTAAAATATTTGACAAATTAATATGAAAAAAAAATATATTTTTCTGGTTTTCTGAGGCCAAATTAGAACCTGGAAATTATATTTTCCCCGCAGTGCTGAATGAGAAGAGCCGTACAGCCTACAGAAAGGTGATTTATAGGCTATAATAAATGTGTCTGATAATAAAATTATATACAATAACGAGGCATTAATTGTTTATTAATAAACTATTGTTTTCTAAATCATTTTCGGCTAAAAATCTCCATCTCCGGATGCACATTTAGAGAGAAATTAATTAGCTACATAATTACATAGTTAGAAGATATTGGCTTTCGATTCGAATTTGTTCGTTTTAAATTGGACATTTAAAGCTTTAATCTACAAAGGATATAACCCCTGTAGACTAAAGCTTTAAATGTCCAATTTAAAACGAACAAATTCGAATGCGGTGGCTGTTTCAGGTCTCGCGCTTCAGTTCACGGAGATCATGAAGCGCGCCTTGATTAATTGTTAAAGCACAACGTTTTCTTGTTATTGTGAGTTTACGCAAATAAATGTATTTGCGAATAATGTATTATTATTTTCTGTATGACCAGAAATGAAAGAGTAGGCTATTTTAAGTTGTTTCAACTGAAAGAAATGCAATGAAACTGCACGTATTCACATGGGCGTCTCGCAGCCATCAGTGCGTGCTCCACACACACTGGATATGCGTCAAAAATATTGTGTTTATTTGTGCTCTATCTTTTTTGGATAAAGGCGTCTTCTACATATGCAGCCTAATAAAATGTTACAATAATGATGATGGTTATTATATTATTATTATTATTTGCAGACAAGGAGTTTTTGACGTGAAATGGACGTTTTGCTTATTTTCAATTGGCAATTTCAGTTTGAAGGGTGATGGAAATGCGGCTTTAACTGCTCCGTACTTGCTGCGTTTTATTTCTATAAATTAATTTCGTTTCAAATGGGGTCCAATCAGTTATTAAAGGTGTTAAAAATTAACTCTGTATCTCGAGGTTGCGGCGCGCACACTAACCGAGTAGGCTATTAACCGATGGGCCTCGGTTAACGGTTAGCCTAATGATAACTTGTTATATCGTGCAAAAAAATCGCTGCTTGAAATAGAGAATCGCCTGTACTGGTCTCGGGACACTATTGCAGCCACCACGGCAGGTGAGTTAATATACATGCTATCTTCCTAATTTAAAAAATAAATTAATTCATAATACCCGCTGAAAGGGGTTGGGTTTTATGACGTTTGATCCTGAAAGGCGTGTTAGGGGTGGGGTTTGGGGCAGCGCTGTGGGGCTACTGGCCCGGCAGTGGAAACGCAAGCCCGGTGCTTGAGGCCCGAGGCCACTAGCTCGGCTCGGCTCGCTGTTAGCTCTGGCCCAGCCCTAGCCCGGCAGTGGAAACGCGGCTATTGTGTCCTTGTGTTTGTACATTTTGTATTGAACATACTGATGCAGGGGGAAGTCTGTCAGCATTGGTACAAAATCAGTGTCAGCTTAACATTTTCGGGCATTTCTTCGGACATGTCTTTCATAAACGCCTGCCAATTTGTTGGACAGGATTCTGTGGTCTTCTCACTATTTTTTCAAGTGTCCCAAATGGAAAACATGAAACTGAATCCAGAGGGCCATACTTTTTAGCGTTATCTGCTACATGTAAAAGACTGTGTGTATTGCTAACTAGAAAATTTGTCCAATATAGTTGGTAACACAATATTTTAAAAGCGATACTCCACCCAAAAATTAAAATTCTGTTATAATTTACTCAACCTCAAGTTGTTGCAGACCTGTTGGAGTTTCTTTTTTCTGCTGAACACAAATGAAGATATTTTGAAGAACGATTGGAAACAAACAGTTGGCACCATTGACTTCCATAGTAGAAAACAACTACTATGCAAATCAATGGTCCCAAAGTTCCAATCATTCTTCAAAATATCTTCCTTTGTGTTCGGCAGAAGAAAGAAACTCATCCATGTCTGCAACAACTTGAGGGTGAGTAAATGATGACAGAATTGTCATTTTTGGGTGGAGTGTCAAATCACACCATCCATCACTCCTGCCAACCTGTTGACCAGCGTTTTTGAGAGCAGTTTGTAGTCGCTGCAGAGTAGTGATACGGGCCTCCAGCACTTTATATCTGCAAGGTCGCCTTTCTTTGGGCAGGAGGGTTAGTACTGCTCTACGGCAGCTCAGAGGCAGCTGGCCTTCAGCCAAGCTTTCGTTCAAAACCTCCAGAAGGTCCTCTCCTAGTTCTGACCAGAAAGACTTGTAAAAATCTACTGGCAGGCGAGTTAAAAAAGAACCTGGATGGAGCATCCATTTGGTCCACACATCCATTTGAGAGACTTCTGCGATATTCTCTTTTACCTTGACATATGTAGCACATGTGTGTGGCACAGTCTACATGCATCACTGCCCCACAGGTACATGCCTCCTGTTAGAACAAAACAAAGAGAAAAATCACATATACAATAGGGTAGTGAACCACATACATGACAGGTTGGTAAATTATTATATACATGTCAGGTAAAGAGATTATGTATACTATATATGAAAAGTTTCCATTCCTAATGGAAAACTGCACTTACTGTCTTTCTCCCTGAAACATTTTTGGCACAAATTCCACATTTTTTAGTTCGATCTGTAAATACAGGATATATATTTATAAATATGTACTTGTCTTTTTTTCTTATTTAAGGTAAATTACACATTTTTGACCACTTACACCATTTACAGTTTCATGGACTGATGAAAAAAAAGGTAAATATTTTAAAATTAAAAATGAATGCTGTTCTACATCTGCATTTCTGAATACCTAACAAACATAAATTGACTTTTTAAGCCAGCGCAAAAAGCCGTTATCGATTAATTAATGTTTTTGAATCTTTCTATCTAATATATATATATATATATATATATATATATATATATATCGGCCTGTTACATTTTTGACATTTTTGATACTGATCTCTGGTATAATTCAACAACATACAAATATGGCAAAGGCCCAAAATTCTGAGCTTTAAAAATATTTGTACCTATTAATAACATTTCAATCAACCTAAAGACTGAAACAAAAGTGAGGCCAGGCGCATTCTCTCTTGTTTTATTGCAGGGCACTGGAAGGAGGTAATGCAGCCAGCAGACTTCATGAAATCAGTGGCAAACTTGAAGGAAGGCAAAAGTTTTTTGACGAGAAAAAAATGATATTTGTCACTAATTATATAATCAGAAACATGTTTGTGCTGTAATATATCAATGTACATGGGTAGATTATTTATGATAAAAGGTTTAAATTCAATTGGTTGACACATGCCTGCAGTGATTTACACTGGGTAACATTATTAACTTACAGCAAGTGTGTGGATACCACATGACACGGAATCAGTTTGCAAATTGTGTTTTGTGGTTTTAATGGTGCACTCTCCTTTCACTCTCCTTGAAGATGCAAATGCACTCTAATCAACAAAATCACTATCACCACTAAGATCCAACTCCAACAGTTAATTTTAAAATAAATATTTTGTAATCATCTACTCATACAATTGTCAGTCCAAACTGTATTTCAGTTGTTACTTCCTCGTAATAAAGCTACAGAAAGTAGGACTTATGTGCTAGAGTGGGTCTGTATACTGTAAATAGTGCAAATTGTGAGGCAGTTGGTTAGAAATTGATCAGCTAAGGACTTAAAGGAGTAATTCACTTTTAAAAAAACTTTTGCTGATAATTTACTCACCCCCATGTCATTCAAGATGTCCATGTCTTTCTTTCTTCAGTCGAAAATACATTTTTGATGAAAACATTCCAGGATTTTCTCCATATAATGCACTTCAGTGGGTACCAAACGGTTCAAGGTTCAAAAGACAGTTTCAGTGAAAACTGTTCAGAGGGCTTTAAACGATTCCAGACGATGAATAAGGGTCTTATCAAGCGAAACGATCGCTCATTTAATAAATAAATAACAAAGTTTAGGTTTTATAAGCTGAAATGCTCGCCTTGCTCTGTTCTGTGTGACTCTCCTGTTCGAACTCGTTCATCAAAATGAACAAATCTTTTTTCGAGTCAATTCGTTCATTTCGTTCGTTGAATGAACCAAATGACTCGAAAAAAGATTAGTCCATTGGTTTCACACTGTGTGTGTGTTTTGTTTCATCAAAGGAAATTCAACAGGTGCCAATCTACCAGCATTAGGCTACCATTATAGGACGTTATAAAATATACTGCGCCGGAATAGACTTTAGCCTATAGGAAAACCAACACGGAAAACACTTTTCAGACTGGATGGAGAAATCCAGCTTTATGAATGAATGAATGAATGAATGAATAGGGCATTTATATAGCGCTTTCATATATGCCTACACTCAAAGTGTTTTACAATCATGTTGATGATGTTGCCACTGCCAGCATCATCAACATCAAAGCTTTCACCCTGGCTGGCTTGTCCCACAACTTCATGGCGCAGGTAGTTGCATAAGATCAACATGACATCATGACTTTTGCGTAAACATATTCGCCACTTTCGAGTCAGGTGGCGTGTTATCTCCCCGCATTTTGTGCTATCCGCGTGTATGCGTATATGTCTACGCCATTAACGTCCGCGTCATTCCGCGTGTTTGAACACGCAGTCTAATCTCCAGTCATAAATGCCATTAACCCCAGTGACGGTTAAGTTTAGGGATGGGGTTGAGGTAAGTCACACACTACTTCATGAGATCAGTCTGCATAAGATGCAGGTTGCCTTGATGATACTGTCTGACGGGTCAGGGTTCACCTCCATTGGCCTTTTGTACACCCTGAATCTTTGGGTCAAAATGCCGAACGCATTTTCTGAGATGCGACGAGCTCTTGACAGGCGGAGGTTGAAGACGCGCTTGTCTTCTTCAAGACGCTTCCCATCATATGACACCATCGAGGTGGCAGCAAAAGATCCCTTTGTAATAGCCAAGTTGGAGTTTTTCACCGCAGTATGCCGAAATGTATCACCATTCCTCACAAAGTATCAAACTGATGCGCCGGTCCTGCCTTTCATCGCACACGACCTATCAGAACTTTTAAAGGTGAGTTAGATTTTCTTCGTTCATATTGTAAATGTGATCTAAATAACTATAGTCATATTGTAAAGTTTGGGAATCCCTTTTAATTAACTTTTGTTCATCACTGGCAGGGTTTTCATAGCAGTAATCCAGATTACTTATCCCTATTGTGACAAATCCTAATGATTAATCTCTGTCTCTGGTAGTTTTCCATTTTTTTGTGTCATGCTTCAAGTTATTTGCAGAGCTTGCTGAGGAGATTCGTTAAAACAGACCTTTGAGATGCTACCCCTGCACAACTAGTCCGTCTCGATGTCACCGAAAAGGAGGCAATGGTGTCTGTGAGGGCCATTGACATTGGCATTGGAGCGGAGAAATGCCATCAAGGTATGTATGGAATATATTTTTTTTTTGGCCTACAAATCCAGATATACTGCAAGTATAGTCATTGAAATGTAGCTTTTTCGTCATGAAAAAGTTTTTTTTGGTGTTCTCAGTTGGTCCACTTGTTTAGTTATCAGGGGAGATGTGGGACTGTTACTTCAGTTTTTTCTCAGTTCTTATTCCCTGTATTAGGAACTTCAGTAACAGAGTAAGACCACTGGAGAGCTTTCTGTTCTTCAGTTCAGAAAAGAGTGCATGGAGGGTCGGATCAAAATAGTGAAGAAGCTTCAGGACAAAAGCCCTTTGAAATACCCAACGGTGAGACAGATGAGTTGTCTTGATCCAGCCAAGATGTACACCTCTCCCGAACTCTGTCAGAGCCAGATGAAAGGCCTAGTTAAACAGTTTATCCAGGACAAGCAGTTGGATGGTCGAATTGCTGCCGGTAGATGTCTCCTTTCATTATTAAAAAAATATTGTACTGACATGAACTGAGACATATTTTTTTCCTAATGAATCTCTTCTTATATACTGTCCATGACACTGATGTAATTTTTTTCATTCTTCAGGTGACCTAATCACCCAGCAGTTTGCCCAGTTGTTGTCATTGGAAGTGCGGGACAGGGAGGAGTTCTTTGCCGACAAACCTTTGGAGAAGCGGCTGGATGTTTTCCTCCATACTTACATCAGTCATCCTTACCCCCAGCTGTGGGCTTTCATCCAGAAGCTGTTATTGCTCTCACACGGACAGGCCACAGTTGAAAGGGGCTTCTCTGTGAATAAGGAGGTGGAAATATCCAATATTCAGGAAGATACCATTGTTGCACACAGAATTATATGTGTCACTGCACGGAGGTGTCTTGAAAGTACCCTTAACATCAGGACTTCTGTCCTCAGTTGTGTCTGCAAGGAGCAGGTATAGAATTTATCTCGAAACTGAAAAACAAAAAAAAGGTATCAGAAGCCCAAGGCTTTAAACGGAAAGCAATTGAGGAGAAATTGGAGCAATTGAGAAAGAAAAGATCATCCATTCAGGAAGTGGCTGGCAACCTAGTTAGAGATGCAAACAAATTAGCAGAGCAGGCAGAATCAAAGCAAGGAAGCAAGATGACTGAACTCATTGTAAAATTGAACGCTTTCAGAAGGAGCCACAAAGACAAACTGGCTGAGCTTAAGAATATAGACGAAGAGATTGTTGCCAAAGGTGTTGAGCTAAGAAACTTGTACCTGTTGTGAGGTACTGAAAACTCTCTCCTATCTATCTATTGCTCTCTCTCTTTAACAAATTTCCCCTTTAACAAATACGTGCTAACTTGCATGTTATTGACGAGACGGGAATATCTGACGGCAGACATCGCGAACAATGTTTCTATGTGCAGTTTGTCAACATATAACATGAGACGTCGTCTTTTTGTCTAATATCTGTACCTTACATTAGTCGTTCGCGGTCAAAACACTGGTGTAAACACAGTTTGATGTCGTGATTTTCAATGCCCAGAGTCTGTTAAACTTGAGCCAACCAACCCCGTGACGTCAACTGCACAATGGCGGCGCCCTGGCGGCGAAAGATACAACGTTTTTTTCTTCTAAATGTTTACATTTGTAATGTTTCTTATATAATTGTTGATTATATTGGAAATCCATCTTGTAAATCATGTAAACTTGATTCACCGCTTCATTTCCCCTTTAACTCGAGTCAGAATGTACATGTGCAAGGCTGCATTTGTCATCCATCACCGTGACATCAAGTGGACTTTTAAAGCTGAAATAATGAGTGGATTAAGCTTGGAAAAACGAGAGAAATAACATGGATAGAACTTTCTTGTCGGTGGATTGTAATGCATCAGTCAGTCAGGTAACGTTACAAGGAAGTGAGACGACGGCTACTAAAATTAGGTAAGACAAAAAGTTTTATTTTTCGCTATTTGTGTGTAATATGTGACAATCGGGTCCAGTCGGGTTTGTGTCTTACTGCCGGGTTCGGGTCCAGTTTTCAAATAATAGACGGGTCCAGGTCGGGTCCGGGCAGTACATTTATGGCATTTCTTGGGTCTGCACGGGTCCGGGTCCAACTTTTGAAATGAACGACGGGTCCGGGTCGGTTCGGTGTAGCACATTACGGGTCTCTTCCGGGTCGGGCATGAATTTTTGGACCCGTGAAGACCTCTAAACCCAGGAAACATTATAAAATAATTTAAAAAAAAAAAAAAAACATTCTAGGGCACCTTTAAGAATTATCCTTACGTCTGATAATTTAGTATAACATTACAGATTTTTTTTGCCAGTGTTATTTTTTACATTTTTATTTTTACAATCTTATGTAGGCCTTTATTTTTATTTTTATTTTTTTAACCACACAACAGATCTTGTATCAGTTTAGTAACTGAAAAATGTCTTGAAAATATCTTCTCATATAACTATAATATTTACAGCATTAGCTTTCTACTCATTTCAGAGAATTCTGTTCACTCATCCGTGTCCTGGGGTGTATTCCAGAAAGCAGGTTATGTGACTTACCCGGGTAAGTTTAGAAGTAAGCGGATAACCTCTGCTTTCGGTTCCAAAAACAAGAGTAACTTTCGGGTGTAAGTAACCATAGCAACTGACTCTCTGAGGATAACCTGCTCAGGAACAGGTTTGTTGCAAGGTTAGTTTGTTTCAGAGAGGTTTACGAGCATGGCGTGCCCTTTTGATGAGGATCCTGTGGACGTAGAGGGACAGATTATATTGGGGTTTTTTTCGCTGTGAGAGGGTGATAAGACCACGTATCGATGTCTTTTCATATCCTGACGAATATTTGCAGGAGCGCTATCGTTTTTCTAGGGAGTCGTTTGTTTATTTATTTAACAAACCTACTAAAACCGCACATCGCAAACGTGACAAACCGCGGGTCAGCGCTTAGCACCGAACAAATTCTTTGTATTGCTCTGCGCTTTTTTGCTACGGGGAGTTTTTTCCACAATGTGGGCGATGCAGAGCATGTGGGAAAGGCAACAGTGTAGAGCCGTTCTTACAGT